GTGGTGCGGCTTATCTGCACCCCGCCCCAATGTTTTATTAAAGTTGACACCCCGGGGGGTGAAAATTACAATGCAAAAGAAAACCTTTTCGCTTTATCTCCCTTGTCCCTTATTTTCATTCAAGTTATAACCGACATCAGTTACATTATCAAAAGTTCCCTTACCTTTGCAAGTTTCACCAGAGGGCTGCGAAATTTGGAGGCTGTTGGTTTTTTTTATTAAATTGATAGGGCTTCCTGTCGCTCTGTCATTTTCGGTTGAAACCAGAGATGAGCCAAGATGAAATGGACAAAGACTTCCTGGACCCTTTAAGGAACAATAGGGAAAACGTAGGCTGTAAATGGTCGCAAAGCACATTAAAAGTCGGGTAATTCTCTTGACAGTTCGTAAAACGCTTAAAAATGCGCGCGTGTTCTTTCTCTTTAAGAAAAAAGCCCCCAATATTTTATTCTGGGCAAACTGATCTATGATTCCAGCCTACCCTCCAGTTATATAATTCTGAAAGGGAGGGATGTAAATTGGGGGGGGGGTGTTCCTATTACCTCAACCTGATTCACACGTGAGTGCTTGTGCTACCGGGAGGAAGGCTAAGGAAAATGGGGAGGAACACAATTAACAGTTGTGTTAATTTCAGCAGGTGTAGTAGGTCACGTGGCAAACTATCTCTAATAAAATCCCGTCTTCTTCAGCTCCGCCTCCTTTCTTCCATCTGGCTACACTAGCAGCTGCTGGTAGGTATCTGTGCGTTTTCTCAAACTCAAATGTTCGTAGGGAGAAAAGGGAGAAAACAAGAAGAGCTTCCACGGCCACCTTCCTTTGGAGAATCTCCCGGCAGCTCCTCCTATTCAATAAACCCCCTTTTGCAACATTAAAAGTAGATCAGACAAGTTGGAGGCGGGTGCGGGGGAATTAAGGGGGACAGAACGCGCTTGGGACTTACAGTCAAGTAGTTATCTCTTCCTCTGTTCCAAATATGTATTATTATTTTTATTTATTTTGGCCGCCGTCTTTATTCCCAGGCAATGCCTTTGTCCTTCGCCTCCCCTTTGGGAGGTTCTACTCTTAGGAAACAATGTTTGCCCAGAAAACGCCTCATGCGGCGCAATCTTATACAAAACTGCTCAATAAGGAGCCCCACCGTGTTTAATTGGTTTATTCCCAGGAATATGTTCGCAGAGGATCCGTTGGGAAGTGTGCTGGGCGAAACTGGATGCGATCATGTCGCACGGTTTCTTGCATTTCCCAATAAGATTACCGTACTAGTTTATTTTATTGGGGGGGGGGATATGCATAATCCTGAGGCACTTTGAAGGCTATCAGATTTATTCCGGCATAAGATATCGTGGACCATTCAGATGCATGAAATGTTTTCCTGTGTTGAAAGTATAATATGCTTCCATATGCTGTTGCGGGGAGGGGGTGTAAACGGTGAACTCAGAAGGATACTATGCGGAAAGTACGAACGAGCAAGTGACAGTCGCACAAGTAACCTATCTCCTGACATGTCACATAAACGGAATGCGGCACACTGTACTGTAATTTACAGCTAGTTGATCGTTCTTTACCATCGCTGACGCGATTCCCGCTTCTCCCATCAGCCTCCAGATAAGGCTTATTAATCTGTGATTCCGAATTTCAGGATCGCCCCCCCAACTAACGCCAAAGTTTTGTGCTGCGAACCCCGCGTTTTGTGCGACTCCCCAAACCGAGTAATTGACAAAACAAATCGGAGTCACAAGTTAATGTCAAAAATCCATCCTTGTCCCAGTGACTCCAAACCAGTGCCAAAGTTTGGTGCCATTTTGTGCCGCAACGCCCCCCGCTTTCCCAGCCCCCCCCCCCGCTATTGATGAGTGGTCCTTGGCTGAGAGAATAGGTTGGGTAGAATTGGATGCTAAGGAACTCCTCATCTTTGAGCGATCTCGGAGGAACGCTCCTTTTCCTTTGGTTTATTTTAACCTTCCCTGGTGAAGGTAGGACTGTGGATGTTTTCACAGTATGTACTGTAATGTTGACAAGACCTCATTTTTTATTTCTCTTTTTGAGCACTTCATGTAGTAAACGCTGTTAAGGTAGGGAGAGCGGAAGAGAGTTGGAAACAAAACTGACCGCCAGTGCCGATTGCATCTTGGGCAGTCATTGCTGAGATGTGATGCGGAGCGAAGGCGCTCCACCTTTCTCCTCCTCCTCCTCCCCTCTAAGCAAGCCGGTCTTGGACCAATAGCTGGTGCCGTCTAAGGAGGCGGGCGAAGGTGGTGGTCGGAGAGAGACTTGCATCTCTCCGCCCGCCTCCTCTCGGCAAGCATCCTTGGAGCACCATCTGCCCGCAAGGCACACGTGGGTCTTCCTTAAGAGGCCGCTTCTGGTAGGCGCAGCGTCGAGGGGCGGCCAGAAGAACCGTCGGGGCCCTGCGAGGAGCGCAGAGCAAGTTGAGCAACTCCGGAGTGAGTAGCAGCTGCGGGCAGCAAACTTCCCTTCCTTGCCTGGCTGCCTTCCATCCCGGGAGCCTCTGACGTTGCCGGGGAGCGGGACCGTCCAAACACCATAGCTGTCAACGTTTCTCCCTTTTTTAAGGGAAATTCCCTTATTCCGAATAGGATTCCTCGCAACAAAAGGGAAAAGTTGACAGCTATGCCAAACACCTGCTAGTGTAGATGCCTCCCAAAGAAAACCGGAGTGACTCCAGTTCTAGAGCGAGCGCCAGATCACTTTTGCCAGCAGAATTACTAGGAGAGAAAGGGATGCTGCTTTCTGCAGGTGTTTGGGAAGAGTATTTCGACTTTAGCTGCGGCGCTAGGACTGATCCTTAGTCCAAGGCGTCTCGCCTGCCTCCCACTCGAGCCCGCCGGCCAGCCGGGGCAGATCTGCCCTGCGAGGGCCCGCCTCTGCCCTCGGGAGGTGCCCGTTGCTTAAGCGGAGGGGAACTCTCCGAAGTAGGAAGCGATCGGCCCCCTCTGTCCCTTGCCAGCGATGGAGAGCCAGATCTGACGGGTAGGACTGGTTCTGGTGCCCTCACTCCGGAAGAGGAGGTGGCTGGCCTGGCCACGCGAGCCTCCCCGAGGCGACACTGGTCCTGGGTCTCTAGGGCAAGAAAGCAGGGAGGTTCTGGGACGACAGCAAGCCCTGCTACCGCAGTGGGCCAGATCCCAGACGTGGACCACAAGTCCCTGTAAAGATCTGGCTGATGGTTAAGTAGGGAGCATCAAGGAGTCTTTAACCCACCGCTGGTCCCTGGAGTCATTTTTATTTCATAGGCAGAGATAACTTTCCCCGCATGGATTCTGAATAGCATCCCTCGCTTTTTAGTGTCTCTGTTTGGTTTATTCATTCCCAGAAGGGCGCCCCTGCCTGGAGCTCAATGGGACTTATCTCCCAGAGAAGAAAGGGTTTTCAGGATCGCAGCGCAGGAGGGCCTCCTCTGTGCGCCATCCGACGTCTTTCAGGAGGTTGGGCGGCTGCAAAAGGGGGCATTTCAGCTGGTCCTGGCCAGCCATGGAAGGTGCAGGAGGAGCCCCCGAGTGGGGAGCATAGCTGTCAACTTTTCCCTTTTCTTGCGAGGAATCCTTGACAGCTATGGTGGGGAGCGCCGCCTCTGCGAGAGCTGCTTGCGGAGGTGCTCCTCGAGGTTTGGCGGAAAGGGAGCACCGTCAGGGCGACGAGACCCGCGGGAGCAGCACCACGAAGCGCCGCTTCCCTGGACCAGAGCTTTCCCAAAGTCACAGATCCCTTCCAGTGCAGTCCCTAGGAGTGTTTGCTCACGAGTAGCTCCATCCGAGTTCAAAGGAGCTTATCCTTCCAAGATGCGTTTACAGCCTCATCTTAGGCAGCTTTATCCAGAAATAAACCTAGCATGATATGGGAAACTAAAAAATGAACGCTGACAGGCGTTTCCTCCCCTTACTTATTCTACCCCATGAAAAGCAGCATGGGGAGATTTTTTATTACTTGGGGTTAAATACATCCCATCCCCCCAGTAATTTATTTTGAATGTTTCCGGCTCCCAAGCACTGTAAATGGTGAAGGGCTGGAATTTAGGAAAGGGGTTTAAAACCACCCTGCAGATGGCAATCATTAAGAGGACGGTGTGGCGGGTCTGTTTTTGTGGATGATGAAAGGTGTCCCGGGATGGATTTCAAGCCCGTTTTTCGCACGAAGGTTAATATTGCTCTCTGGTCCCCTCGGAAGAAAGTCTCCCTAATCCATGGGGATGGGGCTCCCCCCCAAGCACCCCACATTCTCATGTAGAATCGGTAGGTTCACGAATCCACTTGGACACCTGAGGAAAGATTCAAGCTGCGAGCAAAGAGAGTGACAGTCCAGAAGAAGCCCGCCAAAAAAGGAAGCTCGAGGGGAGATGGCGGGAAGAAGGTCGCGACCCCGATACAAGCTGACCTGGGAGTAAGGGCCATTGAACGCGGCGAGGCTTACTTCTAAGCAGACTTTTTGAGAAGCCATGCTTAGGATTAAGATATAGTCGTTTATCTGTATTCTGTCGATAACTGGCGCTCCCTTCCTCGGTGCAGGAAGCGTTCCTGGACTTGTCGCAGCTGGGGCTCCTGTTGTTTCGTGTCCATTTGCCTCGCGTTAGCCCCTCGTGTTCGCTTTGGGTGTTCCCGCCACACCCCACAGATGAAGACCCTCCGGGAGAGTCCTCGGTGGGTGGGAACTTATGAAAGGGTCTCGGGACAATAGGGCGGAGAGCGTTTCCCTGACGGGGAAGTGATCCGGTGGCCTTATATAAGCCTCCGGGGACGGAAACTGACAGTAGCTGAGGTAACCTCAGCTCCACTGCGCCTGAGGAAAAGTTGCCCTTCCTCCGTTCCCTCAGCTCTCTGGCCACAATGCACCCCATGACGAGTCTCCATGAGCACCTTTTCCTCCAGCAGGTAGCCCCCTCCCCCTCCCTGCCCTCCCCGAGGCGCGCGCTGCCTCTCACACCCGCCCTGCCTTATTATTTCTCCCCACAGGTTCCCGCGCTTTCCGCCGCGCCGCGCTCCTCAATGGCCTCCTCCTCCTCCTCCTCCTTCTCCGCTGAGCCTAGCCGAGGCGAAGGCAGCAACGAGTCTTTGCTGATGCTCCTGAGGGGCTGCCAGCCCGGGCCCGGCGTCGCCTCCCCCTTCGGCCCGGTCCTGCCAGCGCCGCGCTTCCTCGAGGCGCAGCCTTCCGCCTGCCCCTTCCAGGCGCCCCTGGGAGCAGGACTGAGTCCCGGTTCGCCTCGCCTGGCGCCCTTCCCCTTCTCGCGCCTGCCCGCCGCCGCCTTCCTGCCTCCTCAGCTGCTGCCGCCGCCGCCGCCGCCGCCCGGTCCTCCTCTGCCCAGGCCCCAGCCGCTGCCGGTGGTCTTCCCTTCGCCCTTGGCTCGGAAGGGCGAGTCGCCTCGCCGGCGCGTCTCCGAGGGAGCGTCGCCCAAGAAGAAGAGCCCCGACGGAGCTCCGGACGCCGAGCAGCGCGCGCCCACCTACCGCTTCACCGCCCAGGAGCTGCACGCCGTCCTCTACGGGGCCGGGCCAGGAGGGAGGCAGCAGGGCGCCATGGCAGGAGCCGGGCACCCTCCTCGCAGCCCGGGTAAGGAAGGCACCCGCGCGGGGTTTCCCCACAGCCTAGAGGGCGGAGGGTGGCGGGCAGGAAGAAGGCGGGCTTGGGGTGAGAGGGTGGCTGCTTCATAGGAAGAAACTTTTCGACGAGGACGACCAAGTTTGCACAAAAGCTTTTTTTGCCGGGACGTCTCACTGCCCCAACGCGAGGCTCCTTGGATAGGAACGTTTCCTCAAATAAAAGTAAAGCGTGGCGTCAAATGAAAATGGCACTTTCCCCCACCCCATTAAATCTGCTCCCAGATTTAAGATCGTTAGGAAACTTTTGCCCCCGGGGTTAAATAACAGGGGCAAAAAGAACCCTTCTAATACTTTGAATTCTGGGTTTTTGGTGCACACACAGAAAGAAAAGTGGCTGGAATTTGCGGGCTGATTTTATTGGGCAGATGGCAATATCGTAGAAGGAGTCTGGTGCAGCCGTGGTCAACTTCTGTCCAAATTTTGCAAAGAAAAGTACACCCCCCCTTTTTATATAAAAAACTCCCAATGACTGGAATAGGATGGGGGTGGGAGGAGAGAGTGAAGTAGAAGTTCAACCACTAATTGCAGGCAAAATTAAACTGGGTTTTAAGAAATCGGAGCAGTTCTGTGGAAAAACTAGATAATGGCACAGCTGGAGTCAATTTCTCTATTTTATTTTAACCCAACAGTTTATTGCTTAAACTGATGAAAACTATTGTATCAGTGATTTTTAAAAAGCATTGGGTGAGGAACTGGTGTAATTATTTTATTATCTTCCATGTATAGGTTAGATACGTTTTCAAAGCAAAAATGTTTCTGTGGAAGGAGAAACTCTGAATGCTTCTGGAGAGTCTCTCTTGACTCCCCTTTTTGTTACCTTTAATCCACCCCCAAATAAGAGAATCTAAATTTTTCTCAGAAGGGCTCCTCTTGCGAAAGAAGACCCTGATCATGCTGATCATGCTCCAACGCCTTTGCCAGATAAGAGTCAGGAAATCCTGCACTTTAACAGCAGGGCTATGGAATAAATTACCCGCTCACCCCCACTGTAACCATCCATCCCATATGCTTCAGAGAAGTGGTTAAACTGGGGACAGATTGGGGACCTTTAGATGTGTCTGTGCCCGCGCGCAGTACTTTCCTAACCTTATCTTGTTGGCACTGAAGGGTGGGGTAGTTTATTTCGGATGTATTACTCCGGTGTAACAGGGTTTAAGTTTTGTAAAGGCACGAATCCTATGCATTTCTATTCAAATTCCAATGAGGCAAATATTGATTCCAGCCTGTTTTATTGCAGGGTCCGTAGACCCGGTGTAACTGCAATCCTCGCTCTACTTTCATGGGAATCGCCTATTTAATTCGGTGGGATTTACTTCTGAGTAGGCATGGTTGGGATTGCGCTGTTACTCCGTTGTCTGAGTGCAGTACTAGTTCTCCTTTGCTTTCCCGTTAGGCGCAGTTGATGGTCAGCCGCCGCTCCTAGACAGATCTTCTCTGCAACTCCCGGAAGGTAGCTGCGTTTGTTTGGTTTGGCTTTTGTCAAGGGGGTGGTTGGGGAAGAGGGATCAAGGCTGATCCTTTTGAGTTCTCGTTTTCTTCAACCCAAAGACTAATCCTTCTCCCTTCTTCCTCTCTCTCCCCCCCTCCCGTTTCCTCTCTGTAGGGCTGACGGTGTTGCAGACAGTCTACGAGGACAGTCCGCAGCTGGGAGTCTTCTGCACCGAGACCATCCCCGTCGGCGTCCGCTTCGGCCCTTTCCAGGGCAAAGTTGTCAACATCAGCGAGATCAAGACTTACGATGACAATTCCCTGATGTGGGAGGTACAATTCGCTGATGTACTGTCGCTTTCTTTTCTCCGAGGGGAGGTGGGGGGGCTGGATGCCTCAAGCCACGCCTCTGCATAAGTGATCACCGCACTTACAGTACTTGGGAAACCAGTTTCTCTGGTTCCAAGGGGTCTTACTCCCAGTAAATGCGCACGCGCTTCCAGCTTTCTAAGAGAGATAGCGCATTTCGCTCCTCAGCTGGGTGTTTTAGGAAGAAAGCAGTGTGGAGTAATGGTAGAGTGTTGGACTAGGGTTCAAATTTCCGCTGAGCCATGAAACTCGTAGGGTCAATCAGTCTCTCAGCCTAACCTACCTCACAGGGTTGTTCTGAAGATAAAATGGGGAGGAAGAGGGCCGTGAATGCCGCCTTTAGCTTCCTTGTAGGGAAGGTGGAATATAAATGCAAAAAAATAAACAAAGGGCGTATGATGCTGGACTCGCATCACCCTCAGGCTGCACGGCCAGTGGTTATGTAAGATGAGTGTTTTAGTCCCATCTGGAAGTCCAGAAGTTCCTCCACCGCTGTCTAGAGGAATAGGTGGCTTGGCTATGAAAAGATCCTGCGCAGATTGATTTAGAAGCAATCCCCATTGCTAACTCCTAACTAAGCGTGTCCATGAGGATTGCAGTTTAGCTGAACGCCAAACCCCTTGCTTTCAACGTGAGTGGGGCGAGGGAACAGGAAGGGGCGTTTAGATTCCCACCCACCCCTCTCCTTGCCAGAAGTGGCGTTGTCTTCCTGGGTTGCTGCTCTCGCTATAAGCGGGGTGAGCAACCGTGTGTAAAGTTTGTGTGTCCATCCCAACAGATTTTCGAGAACGGCCGCTTGAGCCACTTCATCGACGGCAGGGGCTCCTCCGGCAACTGGATGTCCTTAGTGAACTGCGCCCGCTTCCCCGAGGAGCAGAACTTGACGGCCCTGCAGTGCCAGGGGCAGATATTCTACGAGAGCTGCAAAGAGGTCACGCCCGGCCAGGAACTGTTGGTCTGGTACGGGGATTGCTACTTGCAGTTCTTGGGCATCCCTATCAGCCTGAAGGGAACGGCGGAAGGGAAGCCTGTCCAGGCGCACAGTGAAGGTCAGTTGGCAACCTTCCAAGGCTCCGTAAGAGTCGCGCTCAGAGCTGTTGCAGCCGGGAATCTGAATTGTCTGCTCTGTTTGCACATTGGCTCTCTCCCCCCAACCCCCAAATACCGCTTGTAAGTTCAAAATAAGTTAAATGCTTCACTTTGTAAGTCTGGTATAAAACTTATAAAGCTCCCTGTTCATTGCATTTATTCCTCCTCCTCCCTCTTTCACTTTTTGTGCGCGCGCCTTTTAAACTTCTGAAACTAGGTGGCTGTAAAACAACCAACCACCCCTGACGGTGGCTTTTTCCTTCCCTTTCTCACCCTCAGAGTCTGTGGAGGGCTATAAGTGCGAACGCTGCGGCAAGGTGTTCGCCTACAAATACTACCGCGACAAACACCTGAAGTACACCCGGTGCGTGGACCAAGGGGACAGGAAATTCCCGTGCCAGCTTTGCAAGCGATCTTTTGAGAAAAGGGATCGACTGAGGATCCACGTCCTGCACGTGCACGAGAAGCACAGGCCTCACAAAGTAAGGGATCGCCAACTGGCGCCGCAGCTAATAAGTGTTTCAAAGAGTACAGAGTGCCACCCGCCCCCAAACACGCTTCTCAGTAATGGAAGCAAGCCTCGGGGAATGTGGGGGAATGTGTGCGGAGGGGGGGCATTGTTGGGCAGGGACATCTCAGGCGGTAGATTCAGGGTTGCCAAAGGGAATCGTCCTCAATAGGACGATTCAATTAGCCTTGAATCGTGGGCAAGTTGAACGGTCCGTGTATCTCTCTGTGTGTGTTCTGTGACTTGCTTTTGCGTGATTGTGGTTTCATCCAACGGGCACTTTACTATCCTGTTTTTAATTCTAAAAAGGTCTTTTGATCATTTTCATAAAGGGCTCCGTGCGTGTAGCCTTCCTTGGGAGTAAGTCCCATGGAAAGCAATGGAATTTGACTTCCGAGTAAGCATTGCTTTGTATGGCATCGGGCTTAAATACGGTGTGTCACAAAGGATGCCCTTGAAAGTCTCTGCAGCTGTTACGTGTTGCATTCGTGTGTGTGAATGCGGAGGAGTCTAATGGACTGTGATAGGTTGTTCTCCGTTGGCACTTGCCGATTTCGTTTAAGCTCCGCATAAGTAGGCTGAGGCAGAGACTCAATGCAGTAGTTATCTATTAAGAGTACGTTTTCTTTGCGGTCTAGTTAAAACAGTGGTTCTCAAAGGGTGTGGCAGGAGACGGTGGCGGGAGGATTCAAATACAATCAATATTATGTGTTATTATGTGGCTGCATTTTTCCCCTGGGTGTCCCATGATCATATTATAAAGCAGCTGTGTTCTGAGTTACAAGTCACGCACTGCTAGGAGTTGCTTCTTTTTCTTTTCCAATGTATTTCTTATCGATAAAAAAAATATCGGTGTGGCGCCTGCAAATTTTACTTCTGAAAGCGTGGCCCAAATAAAACAGTCTGAGAACCACTGAGTTAGGGGGTGAAGGAAAACCATGGTGACACTTCCGGGAAGGGGTCCTTAATTGTGCCCCCTCCCCCCTCTCGGGGAAAAACAACGCAGAGAGTTCAAGCTACTCTCCTGCTTCACTGCAGGGAGTGATTGCAGCTCCAGGAAACCACCATTGCAAAACGCACCGCCTCTGCTGATTCTCTGCCCTGAAATCTTTTTTTCCTCTTGTTTTGTTGCTGCCCCCCCCTTTTTCTTCCTTTTTTAAAACTATGATTACTTGCGGTTTATTGGAGCAAATGTTCGGCCTCAACCCTGGAGCGCACTTGTCTGAAAGCAGACCCAGTTCATTCAAAGCCAATGAGGTTTGCTTGTGACGGTAGTGATCTTCACACAAAACCCCTAGCAATGAAATCGGGTGGAGCGAATTCCTGAGTTCCTCAAGGTAATGGTTCTGGATAGTTCACCTGTTGTGAAATTTAGAAGCGTGGTGTTGCATTTAGTTGCAATTGCAGTACACTTTTGGAAACAGAATTACAAAATGGAAAGGTTATGGAACTTTTAAATATAGATAAGTGTGCTTTCTGTCTCTCCTCTCCCCTCCTATACCCAAGGATTCCACGGCACTGAAATGTCTTTTAGCCTCTCCAGTATCTTCGGTTGGCTGGAATAATTAAAGATGAACTAGGCAAAGGGGAATTCCCATAAGTGCCATATTTTAAAGAGCAGCTCCTTATTTGAATTGTGTTAGAGCTCCTGGCAGGGGGAGGGGAAAGAACTCTCATTTCATAGTGAGAAACTGATCTCACCCACTTTTACTTTGAAGTAACTGACAGCCCAGCCTTTATGTATCTATAGAACTATAGCCTGAGGCTGCAATCCTATACTTACCTAAGCGTATGTCTGATTAAATTAACTGGGGCTTACTTCTAAGTAGATAGTCTTGGGAATGTGCTCTGAAAAGGTGTCACTTGACTTGATTGCTATTCCAGACAATAGCTGAGTACTATCTTCCATTTAATAATATACATTCATATCATTATTATCCACTTTACCACCCTGGCTCTTTAGAGGCTATCAACTTCCTTACCTCCCACCTCATGGCTTTCAAAATTAACCTTTATATCATTACATTTCGTATGTTTCCCACTTCTAATCACACTCATTACAAAATAGCTCAAAATGTAAATAAATAAACTTCTCATTACAAGTCTTCAGATAACCCTGCTAGTGATGTTAATTGCTTACAATAATCTTTCAGATATTGAATAAATTCACTCCAGTCCTTTTGGAATACTTGATGGTGCTTGTTTCGGATTTTTCCTGTCAGCTTCGCCAATTCTGCAAAGTCCACCATCTTCATCTGCCACTCTTCTTTCATTGGCACTTCTTGTTGTTTCCATTTTTGAGCTAAAAGAATTTTTGCCACAGTTGTTGCATACATAAACAGTTTTTTAATCTTCCCTTCATATCTCTTCACCCACTATATCCAATAAAAAGGCTTCTGGTTTTTTAACAACTTCAGTCCGACAGACTTAGGACAGCTTTACAACATTTTAGTTTTTTTCTTGATTTGTGCCACTCTGCCGTAAAACCTGCAGAGAACACCCCAGATGTAGAACCTCTCTCGGGTGCTTTGTTCTCCACAAAGGGTGACAGGAATGGGGAGGAGGGAGGAGCTAGCACATTAACTTAGCATCCAACCATGACTTCTGAACTGAGGGCTGTTCACTAACAACCTCTCACGAACTAGCATTACACTTTCTTCAAGCCCAGCTGGCCATATAAACACAACTTCAACTCAGTTGTCTCATTCCCTATCCTTGAAATCTGATTAAGCGTGAGGAAAAAGTGAGACATCTTCCTTCATTTTCATCCCTTGTTACAGGGACAGAAAGAGCCTCAGCTTGGTAGCAATTAAGTAGAAGCAATTAAGAAGTCTCAGGCAATAAACAATGTTAAAATAGTTTTGTAAAATAGTTACAAACTACAAGTGCACCTCCCCTTACATGCATCCCACTAGGAGACCTCATAATAGATAGATAGATAGATAGATAGATAGATAGATATCTTCTCCTTGTTTGGGGCTGCTGCCCAGAAGTTGCTGCCTCAGCAAGGGAAGGTGGCCTTTGATTGACTAGCGGCTTCTCCTCACCTCCATTGCATGTCCATGAACCCATCCTGGTACCAGTTACGTTGGGCGCCCTTCTCTGCCCCTGCCCTCTGTGGCCAGCCAGCCACTGCTGCTGCACCCACTGGCCCCCCTCAGGTAGGCAGGCTCAGTTCAGGCTAGGCAGCTGCCCCAGATAATGAGTCTCTCCCTCCCTCCCTGCATGCCCTCCTTATTAAAGTTAGCTGCTCTCCGCTTTACACAATTTCACTTATGCCTGCGAGGGCCCAGAACACCTGTATATGTGTGTGTGTGTGTGTGTGTGTGTGTGTGTGTGTGTAATCAGCCTCTGTTTTAACATATCGATGCTTGGAAAATGCGCGAAACTATATAGTAGACACTGATACTCCAGTATTGGACAAGACTACAGGCTTATGCCAGAGTGTTTTTTGGGGGACGGGGGGAATCAGACTCTCAGGCCTTGTTATCACTGTGCACCCAAGTGCCCACAAATTGATCAGAGCATCTTTACAGGGCAATCTGCAGATCAGTGTGTAGGCTTCAAGCCTACACAGCGAAGGCACGTAGTACAGGCAGGTGCTGTGGCTAAAATAATCTTCTTGGCATGATTCATACATATAGGTTGAAACCTTGTATATTTCTACATTCTACATACATTATTTTTTATATAAAAAAGCACATTATCAGTTATGTTTGCCTTGTCTGTCTTGTCTGTATTCCTATCTAAATCTCTTGTCTTGTATTGTTATCTAAATGTGCATACGTGTTGCATGCCAGCAAAAACGTCTGTACCTGTCGCTGCAGTCACAAAACGGTCCTATGTGTTCTCTCTTTTCAGTGTTCTACATGTGCCAAAAGTTTCTCTCAGTCTTCCAGTCTAAACAAGCACATGAGAGTACACTCTGGAGAAAGGCCCTATAAATGTGTGTATTGCAACAAGGTGAGGACAACCATGCCCTTTGAAGTTCCCTTGAGGTTTTAGTTGCTTGTAGGACGTTATGTTCTCTGGCATGCTCAGTTTAATCTGTTTTAATTCTGAATTTAACGTTGAGCCCCAACTATGTTAGATGTAATGCAGAAGACACATGGCAGGTCTCCCAACATATGCATTTGTTATTACTGCATCTGGGAAGGCATGGAAATGCAATGTTTTCTATTTGCAATGAACTGGAGTCTCAGCCTCCTTAGGTGAATGTAAGGCTATCTGAGCCAAGCTTTTATTCCTGGGTCCCACACCTGAACAGACTGTTATAAAACAGTGGTGTAGTTGATGGAATTTTAGGCTCTGGATTTAACCTTCTTGCAACCCTCTTCCACTTAGATGATAAATAAAGTGGCAAGGCAGCCCTGCTAGGTTCCTCCCCACTGGTGGGGGGGGGGTTGGTTTTGCTGAGTGGGACCTTGGATTTCTTCCTCAAAGTCCTCCCTTAACAGCACCACAGACTGCAAAACAAAATATCACCTTTTTATAGTTGCTGTGACTGACTTGTAACTTGATTTGTCACATGTGTTGCCTGCCGGCCCTTTAGGGGAGCTTGTGGAAATGTATATGGAGCGAGTCCCCTTTTTATTTCCACTACAATCTTGTGAACTAGGCTTGTCTGAGAGATAATGATGACTTGCTCAAGGCTATTTACAGAATGCCATAGCTTGGCTGTGATTTGCACATAGTTTCCCACATCCCTCCTTCACTGGCTGTGAACATGTGAGGCTGGGATTTTATCTGCCGTATATAAGACCCAGCAAAAGCCCAATTGGTTCTCCTGCTGTAGAAACAAGCATTGTAACTTAATTACAATTTTGTGAGCATGTGATTCCTTTCATCTTGTTTGTCACTTGTAGCTTTGTGTCTGAATGCGCTCTCTCTCTCTCTCTCTCTCTCTCTCTCTCTCTGTGTGTGTGTGTGTTTGTGTGTAAAAGCTTTCTATGCCACCTGAAATCATTTTGTTCACCATCTCCATAGGCATTCACCGCCTCCAGCATCCTGCGCACCCACATCCGCCAGCATTCAGGAGAGAAGCCTTTTAAATGCAGACATTGTGGCAGAGCATTTGCTTCCCATGCTGCCCATGACAGCCATGTGCGGCGCACACACGGTGCTAAAGACAACTGCCGCACCTGTACTTTGTGTGGCAAGACCTTTTCAGAGGTAGAAGAATTCCGCTTCCATATGAAGTTTCACACAGGCCATTAGCCAGAAAGCTAACGAATAGGATGCAAACCATTTGGACATCTGTGTGGCATTTTCTGTAATGTGTTGGTTTTAATGTAGCACTACCCACCCAATAGAGATAATGAGAGATACAACTACGTACAACTGCTCAGGATGTGATCTTCACCCATTAGTACAGGCGTGAGGAACCTATCCCCATGCTCTGAGGGCCAAAGTGGTGCCACACTATTTTCTGCCCTGCTCAAAACACACACACCAATCACTCCCCCATTCTCAGCCCCCACCCTTTCAGCTGATTTGTGAAAAACAGCTGAACAGTGCTAAGTCATTCATTCCCCTAGTGCAAAATTTCTGCTCGTGCAACAGAATTCTCGCCTCTTCCCTACGCATGCCCCCCAATCTTTTATGGGGGTTCTCCTAATTCTTGAACAAATTGTGGAGGAGGAGAAGGGGAAAGTTCCATTGTGCAAGCATAAATCGTTGAGTAAGTGGAATGAGGGCTTTAGACAACACTCTTAACATTGCAGTGGGGATGAAAACCAGCCATTCCTTGACTGATCCCACTGTAATCAGCTCAGGAAGCAGCAGTTTTCAACCCCATCACAGTGTGTTAGGAAGGGAGGTTTTTCAACACACTTGCACACCCTTCCCAACACATTGCAATGTGAGATGGCCCATCAGTTGATTGGATCCTATAAGATGTGGTGGTGTGAAAATGACCTTCCACTCCCTTTGGCTAAGGGGTGGGGAGAACTTTGTTTTTACCTGCATTGTGAAAGGTGGAAATGAAAACCATGTTCTCCTGATCACCTGAGGAGAGGGCCTTGTTTCAGGGGAGTGCTAGGGCAAACAACTACTGAGATGGAGATTACCCAGAAGAATCCAGAAAATTTGATCCTGAGATGCCAAAGACATTTTAATAACCACCTATGCCAAATTAAAACACAATGTTTAATTATGGCAAATATTTCTGCACTTCCAATACATTGTATTTGTTGTCAATTTTAAAAAAGAGAGAATGTATGTAATTTTTGCTGGCTCATTTCTATGTTTTTGTGCGGCTAGAATTTGTTGAAAGATTTATCAATGTGAATGTGTTTCTAGGGGTATTGGGTTGTATTCAGTGGTGTTGCTCAGTGGATGTTAAGCCTTCTGTCAGCGGAACAGGGAAGGAAGCAGTTTTCAGCAATTTCCCCTGCTTTCTGCACCCCCCCCCCCCAAATCTTCACTGGAGCAAATGGGGTGGTGGCAAGGGGAGGGAGAATTGCTAAAATTACTTACAACCCTGTTCTATTCTTATTACAGTTACCCACAAAAAGGCTAGTTGTGGTGTTACTAGCTGCCAGCCATTCACTCATCTGTTAACTTGCTGCCCCTTACCTGTCTGCTTGGACACTTGTTGGCTCTATGTCAAGGAGGCTCTCCTTTGGGCTCTAAGCTATTGCCCACCTCCCTTCCTGTCCAGTGTGCCAGCCCATTTGTCACCTAGGGCATTCACCAGCTCATTGCTGGAGAACAGAGTGGAAACACATCGGCAGGTGTATTTCTTTTTAAAATTACACTATTTAATTTTTGAAAATGTGCGCAATTTTCTTTAACAAAACTCAAAATTCATCCCGTGCTTAATACTGAGGCAACACTTTTAAAGAATAGCTTATTGGCACTCTTGAAGTGGGGAAGGAAATACAAAGTTTATGAAGTATTGTTCAAACATAATCTACAGCAAATTGTACTTTATATAGGCTTTGCGCATAAGTATAAGAAATATGGGCTGGAATGTTTGTGATTATGGTTTGAGAGTTGCCTTACTCTTTAAATATGGTGTGACTGTGTTGCTGTTGGAAGTTAAATGTAATTTTACATTTGGGTATACAAATGTTAGTGACTTGCACTGATCTATTTATTATTGCTGCTCAAAATTATGTCTGTCTTGTTTTGGTGGGTAAAATGAAATCCTGTAAGCTTAAAATATACATAAAAATTCTTTACATGAATGTTAAGATTTGTAGAGTATGTGGAAGACTGAATGGCTAGAGTTGTGTTTTAGCTTGGTTTCTTTCCTTTTGCATGTTTGTCTATGTTTTGTAATATTTGAACAGATGTGATGTAAGCTGTGGCATTAAGATCCTTGGGGACCTCAGATGTAATGAACTGCTGTATGTGGTGCAGCCCTTGGAAAAGGTTTTGAATTTTGATACTGTGTTAGTTCAGAGCACAGTTGCTGGGCTGCTGATTGGGACCTGGCATTGGGGGTCATAGCTTGCTAGTGCTCAAATGTTTCCAACTGAGCTCAATTTGTACTTTCCTTTCAACTTCCCCTACATGGTTTGGTGTAAGCTGAAGATAGTTCTGAATCATCTGATAGATGCTTTTCAGTAGATCTGCGAGGATTTCTGACTCCCAATTTGTTTGAACATTGCCACCACTAACAAAATGACTTTCCCCACCTGAATTAGGCTGCCAAATAAAGAGAGCTACACAGAAATAATGTGAAGACAATGAATAAAGTTAAGTTCTGGTACTGAAAAAAATTCCTAGGCTCAGAAGTACTCATAGGCACCCTCCCTCTCTTTTTTACTTATAAGGTTTAGTCTGGCTCTTGCTAGTAAATTTTGGGGTTCTACTAAAAAACAAAGTAGTTCCAACAAACCTGAAGTCTGCCCAATCCTAGATTATGACCCACGTACTACTTGTTCTGTCTCCTTTCCAACCAGTCTGCATGATCACTGAATCTGTCTTGGGCGTCTCCACATTCTGGCATATAGCCCATCTGTTCAATGTTTTCTTCTGACACTATTCTGTTCTAGTTTTTGTGTGTTGCTTCTGTTCTAATTTTTATGTTTGATTTCTGTTTTTTACTTGTGAAATGTCCTGAATGCTTGATGTAGAAGAGTGGGATAAAAATAAATTTTATTTAAAAACTAATTAGCTACCTAGTCTTTTATTTGCTATCAATAGGCCCAGAGTCATGACATACATTTTCCCTAGAACCAGACTGCAGAAATAACTTGAAAACCCTAAAACACATTGACCAGTTATGCATCATGAACAATTATGACATTAGTTCAGGACTGAAACAAGTACCCTGGACAGCTCCATGGACCGATCAGGCAGAAACTTTGTAGAAGCAAGTTTTAATTGCTCCTGGGAAGAAGCAACAGCTCTCTCGGTATTCTTCAGTGTGAGAAGTCTCTTCAGTTAAAGAGGCCTCTTCCAACAATGTTTTTGATTTAAGCAGAATTTAAAATAGAATAATGTGTGTACTCTGTTGAAATGAGGAGACTGGGAAGAAAAAAATGACAATCGTAGTCAACTCCCCATGTATAAACTTTAATTACTGTTTGTACAAGATAGATGTGTGTTGCATGCATTCTTACTGTTTTTGCTTTAAACTGGCTTGATCTCTAAGGGTCACTGTAAATTACCATTTTAAGAATTTACTATTAGGAAATGCTGCTTGTTCTATTGGAGACAGAATATTCATAACAGGAAAAAGAGTAACTTATGGTAAGCCCATTCCTCTTGTATTTTCCTCAAAGGATTGGGATTCTTCTTTGAATTTAACAGCTTATAGTTAAATTTATCACTAGGTAATTCAGAAGCACCTGAAGTAATCTGTCTGTCCTTTCACAGTCCAGGGGACTTGCTCCAAGTGTGTGTTTTAGATGTTCCTCCTTAAATAAATTTTCTTACCGTACTTTTTGACAGAAACACATTAACCTTTTAAAAAGGTAGCTTTTGATTCATGCCCATTCAGTACCCATCTTGTACAGTATACTGAAACTAAGGTGCGTATGTATAAACTCTTGTAAAGTGTGTATATGTGAGCTATATCTAGCTGTATTTGACAAGATGGGTTTCAATTTTTCTTTTGTTCAAGCAGTATCCAAACAACCCTAAAACAGAGCAGGGAATTGCGTTGGGTCAAATGGAAAGAAGCAGCTGCAGAAATGGACACTATATAAGGAAGCAGGAGGGGACCCTGTCTATTTTATTTATTTCATAGAATTTATACTGTTTGATTGTTAAAAAACAACAGCCTCAGAGTGGTGATGGCCTCTTTAGCTACATCTTTAAAGGAGGAGTGTTTGTGTGTGCAATTAGTTGAGTTAAATTGGGACATATCAGAGTTACACTTAATTAATTTTTAAATTTAATAGATTTATATCCCTCCTTTTTCCCAAACTGGGATTCAGTGTGGCTTATAATATTTAAAAACAGCACAATAAATAAAGTAATAAAACAAACTACTTGCAAACAATAATTTGTTATTGTTTAGTCGTTTAGTCGTGTCCGACTCTTCGTGACCCCATGGACCAGAGCACGCCAGGCACTCCTGTCTTCCACTGCCTCCCGCAGTTTGGTCAGACTCAATAATTAAAATACCTCAAAATACATTTAAAACCAGTTTGCCGTGACATCAGCCCAGTGAACAGCACATTGTCTACACCTTAATTATCAAACTCATGTCTAAGAAAGATTTCATAAAGGGCCTGTTTACCACTTCCTCCATAATTCAAAGAACATTCTATGGGAAAGTCAGGAGGGGACCAAAAATTAAGTGTAATAATAATGGCTGAATCTGTAGTTTGCTCAGATGTCTGTCCTCACTTTTCTGCTTTCATTTTTAGTGGGAATGTTAGTGCACAAGTATCCTTGCAGCTGATTCTCCTCCCCCCCAACAGATGTTGGTCAGTCACCCATTAGTGTACAGTTCAGCACTGACTCAGAGGTAGCTCAAATTTGAAGCCACTCTTTTTGTTTGCCAGCTTGCAAATATTAGATGCTCCAAAGGCCAAGAGGAGAATAGATTGTATTAAATGGTGGATAATACACATTTATCATTGATTTATCTCTGGAAAACCTGAATGTAGGCATATTTCCACATCGTTCTCAATCTGAGGTGTTGAATATCTTTCTTCGATCTGTTGATCCATTGAAGAAAAGTACTGCACAAGTTCCAGGAGAAAGTAATCACAGTGAAACTATTCCAATTATCATTATCATACAAATTTATAGAC